CCTCCATATAGAAAAACAATAACTTAAGGCAATTTTTAATTCTTGGATTCAATTAAAAGTCTTTTCCAGATCATTAAAAAAACTTAACACAAACCAAATGAACGCGTCGATATGAATAATATTAATATTTTGTCCGTCAAAGAGCATCAATTTCAATCGCTCAAATACAAGTTCCTCAAAATTTTGTATTGAATCCTAAAATTTTGAAACGTACCGCAATTTGATATTTTCTTCTTGTTAAGAGATCAATTTATATTATTTATCCAACATATTATAGTTTTTCTCATACAATGTAATCAACAAAATAAAATCATAACATAGCTGTGCTCATAAGTGCCTGTCATACATCGTGATAATTTTTCATAATAAAATGATAATTTTCAATTAATAGTTCATATTATTTGATTGCAGATTATTAGTATAATTTTGTTATCAAAATTTTCAACCATAATATAATTTTTTCAACGAATTCATCACATTTGCCAGAAATATCTCGAAGATTTTCAAGAGTTTCTTCACAAGGCACCCACGATCAACGGTCGCCAGAGCGTCCCCTCCCTGGCAGCGCTGGGACATAGCAGCACAATTAGCGTACTGTTCTAATTCCTCCATTGTTCTTAGCCGCAGCAACCGCAGCTAACGCCCCTCCACGGCCCCTCATCCGCCCCTCATCCGCCCCTCTCCCTTCATATGTGCTCTAACGTTCTCTGTATGCCCATGCAGTTCGTATATACGCATTGTCCAAATACGTCCATATAGGAATATTTCAGAATTATATATTTTATCTGTTTTACATAAATAATATATTCATCAATTGCATTTTTATAATTAATATTAATTACGAAATTTTCCATTTATAAGCACTCATGCGAACATATCCCTTCAAAATCAAGCGTGAAAGTAATGTACACGAAGGCTCCGCGTTGTTGGCGAAAGATCTCTTAATTGAATTATTTATCAAAGATCTCTCAATTAAATTCTGTAGTAATTAGTCATGAGCGATGAATTTCCCAAGGTTTCACTCTAACTTCCTTGAATGGGATAAAGCAAATGAAATTAATTTTAAAAACATATCTAGGAACACATGTATGAGTTATTTCCAATGCTTTAACATTAAATACACATTTATTAAGCATTCGTATCTATATTTTTTCAGTCACCGTCCGCGGAAGGAAGCATCATAAGGATATATTCCTCTACTGATAAGAAATAGATTTCATATTCCCGGATAAAACTGCAATCCTCGATTATTCACGAAATAGTTGTTACGAGTTGATAATATAATGTAAATTAAAATAACAAAATCGATTATTCGCAAAATAGTTGTGAAAATAACGTGAAATTAAATAAAATAAATTGTCAAGTTCTTTAATTTTTGAGACTCAGTTTTAGTTTTCGAGCCTCACGCACGGACTGCAAAGGACATGGGCTCTCGAGTTCTGTTATTCTAAACATGGTCTCTATTTCAGACCACAACAATGGCGGTCCACTCAAAACCTCCTTCCCTGCACACTTTAATCCTTGAATGACACTTTTCCCACACGACTCCCCACGCAGCGAGTCCCAAGTCCCCTAACATGGAAATGACGCTAACTTGCATCATTAAATAAAATTTTTAATTTTAATTTCATTTATTTTTTCTGATTGGGTGAAATACTGCAACTGATGCTAAGAAATGAATTCCCCAAACCTCTCAAACGAAATGCCGAAAATTATTTTCTTTTGGTTATAAATTCTTATGAGAAAACTTCGCTAAAATATCAAAAGATTTACCTTACTTAAGTTTTCAGCTATCAAGAACTTATCTAAATAATTCAAAACATTAAATAATAACGCACATAATGTTAATTTAAGTCAATAATTATATCGAAACAGGCTATAACTCTCTTTAAAACATAGTATCAGTCAACGTAAACTTCAAGATTACGCGGCGGCAAGCTTTTAACATTCTTCGCGCCTGAACATCGTCCATATATGTATTCGAAGTCGCTTCACTGTCTTAGCTCTACGATGTTTTACTCTATTCCTTTCAACTTTTCACTTGAACTAAAACAGTCTTCGTGACCCTTAGATAGGCCCGAGTCAAAATGCTCCCTTGGGGCAACTGCCACAAGCGTCCGAACTTTGCCGACACGAGTCTAAGTTTTACTCAGGGAGAAAGAGCGTCTCAAGAAGAAATTAATTAGTATTAAATAACTAAAACTGTTATATTTTCAGTACAAATTACAAATATGACGCCGAAGTCGGTTTAACATACGTAACATTAATTTAACGCAAAGTAATGTATATATATTTAGTATTCTCATGTTTCAATCTCAGTTCCAACAGCCAGACAAACAAACAGCAAGGGTCCTTCTCAAGCACTCACTCAAACACAAACACGCGCATCGCTCGCGTGCAACCACGCGGCAAACGGCCAGTCTAACATCTAGCCTGAACAACACAAACATTGCGTAAAATTTTGTTCGAATTCGTCTGTCAGGTTCAACCATTCAGTGAGGATTATTATTGTATACAACTATTTATTTTATTATTAATTTTAAATAATCAGATAATTTGAGTGTTTTAAGTACAGTTTTGAATTACTTCATATATGTATTAAATTTGTCTGAATCTGTCACATTGATAAGATAAAATCATCATTTTACGCCTTCTTCGACCACTGAACACCATAACTATATAAAATATACCATACAGGAGTTATTTCACAAGTTCGTTTAATGAAACACTAGCAGCCGAAAAACCCAAAACGAAAAACCATTAACACATAAAAAAGTGGCGAGTATTAAAAATGAAAATACCAGGGATAAAAAAATAAAAGTTAGCCGCAGAATGACATCCCGAGTGAGGCGGCATGGGAATGGTGGTAACGCCATACCCTTCAGGAATGTCAGGAATGAGAATGACCACACCGAGGCGCTGAAAACTTGATTGTTTTACTTTTAGCGAGGCCAGGGTGGTGAGGAGATGACAGGAGGTGATTCATGTTCGTAGTGGTATCGGGCGCAGTCTGATAAAACGAACTCGAAGGTTTTAAAAAATTTTTGGCGGTTGAAGCTTTGATGTCGTTTTCACCCATTGGTGCAGAGCCTCCAGAGAAAAATTTATTGTTGACAAGAATCTGCAATTAATATAAATTAATTTTAACAACTAATTATTAATCAATCATGAAATAATTGATAAATCAGTTGATCATTAATTAAATTTTGATTATTAATATTATTAATTATTAAATAAAAAATAATTAATTAATTTAGAATCTATAATTATGTTTCGTGCAGTCATATGTTCAATTCGTTTGGGTTTTGGGCAGAATTAAATTGCATTGTATTTTTTCGAAATAAAAGCGCTGCAACATTCAAGGGACATGGACAATTGGTTGAGAAAGATCCATTAGTCAAAGACTCAAAGGATATTAATATAAAAATAACGGGACAATTTTCCTTGCCTAATTTAAATACTTTATCTGAGTCTCCGCAACCTTCCAGTAATTTAATTAATAAAGAATAGAATAGAATAGAAGTGTCGGCGTTGAAGAAATAGGCCCATGGCCTGTTGCCGATTCTTGAACTTTTCGTGACTTGATTCACAAGGGATCCGGCCTTTGGAACCCGATCTTTCCATAACTGATGATTGATTGAGATAGCTGCTGGACTTATTGCCTGCTCCGTAATTTGCTAGACATTTTAAGACTGAACATATGCTCCTGCATAGCTTCGTCTAGTCTGTTTTTGAAGATGTTCATACTCGGAGCTTCAACGATGCTATCAGGGAGGCTGTTCCACATGTCGGTGACTCGAAGCGAGAAGAAATGTTGTCGCATGGATGTGTTCCAACGCTGTTTTTT